ACTGTCCGTGGTAGGACCGAGGCTCTTTAATGCCTTTAAGGCATTTAGGCTCTTTAGGCTCTTTAATGCCTCTTTAATGCCAAAAGAGCAGAGAAGTGCAGGGGAGTTTACCCTTGGAACATTCAAGAGACAACTGGACAAGTGGCTGAGCAAGATCCCGGACTGTCCAGTAATGGGAAACCACCCTCAGCAAGCGACAAGCAACAGCATCTTGCATCAGCGTGCCCAAATGAGGGCTAATAGACGGAACTCGTCCAACGCTAACATAACATAACATAACATAACCTAATCTAACATAACATAACACAACATAACCTAACATAACATAACATAATTACATCTTCATGACCCGAGGGCGGGGTGACCTGTCTAGCGACGACTCTGAGACGGAGGACGACGAAGGCGGCGCATCAGCGTGACCGGGGACTAGCAAGTCCCGAACTCATCACACGGTTACACCAGTGCAAAGATTGTGTTGCCACACACACTCAAAATACACTAAACAGCAGCAAACCCAGCCTACACAACAACTAATACATGAACTATACAGCGCTTACATGGAGGCAGTGCAGCAGCAGCAGCGGCATCAGGACAAGCGCCCCCTTATCGCCCCCTTACGCTATACATGCGAGGGGGGCGCACGCCGCCATCTTGTTCTGGCCTGGGGCTGTATTGATGGGACTAGGGGGCTGTTGTATATACACATCATACAGCACACAGCATACAGACAATACAGCACACAGCAGCCTGCATGCAGCACACACAGCAGCCTGCATGCAGCACACAGCAGCCTGCATGCAGCACACAGCAGCCTGCATGCAGCACACACAGCGGCCTGCATGCAGCACACACAGCAGCCTGCATGCAGCACACAGCAGCCTGCATGCAGCACACACAGCAGCCTGCATGCAGCACACACAGCAGCCTGCATGCAGCACACACAGCAGCCTGCATGCAGCACACACAGCAGCCTGCATGCAGCACACACAGCAGCCTGCATGCAGCACACACAGCAGCCTGCATGCAGCACACACAGCAGCCTGCATGCAGCACACACAGCAGCCTGCATGCAGCACACACAGCAGCCTGCATGCAGCACACACAGCAGCCTGCATGCAGCACACACAGCAGCCTGCATGCAGCACACACAGCAGCCTGCATGCAGCACACACAGCAGCCTGCATGCAGCACACACAGCAGCCTGCATGCAGCACACACAGCAGCCTGCATGCAGCACACACAGCAGCCTGCATGCAGCACACACAGCAGCCTGCATGCAGCACACACAGCAGCCTGCATGCAGCACACACAGCAGCCTGCATGCAGCACACACAGCAGCCTGCATGCAGCACACACAGCAGCCTGCATGCAGCACACAGCACGCCTGTATAGATTACAGTCTACACTACACAGTATACACAGGTGATGTAAACACACAAGCCCCCTCCGTCGCACGTGTTCCACACAGTAACACAAACAAGGCGGGAGAAGAGCGAGCCGAGGAGCGGCACGCACCCTCCTCCACGGCCGCCGCAGCGCTACTGAGCAACCGCCACCACCGCACTCCCCCCTAACCAAAACTGTTGCTGTTTCGAGTCCAAACTTTACGGCAAGTGATAAGTTTTCTGGAAACGATGGATAGCACATTAAAAACTCGCTTAGATTCATGCCTAAGTACACGTAGCGACCTTAGTACCTACAGTAGCGGCCATAGTACAGTAGCGGCCTAAGTACACGTAGCGGCCTAACTATAAAGTACACGCAGCGGCCTAAATACATGTAGCGGCCGATTTCTCGTCTGCGNAGCACACAGCAGCCTGCATGCAGCACACACAGCAGCCTGCATGCAGCACACACAGCAGCCTGCATGCAGCACACACAGCAGCCTGCATGCAGCACACACAGCAGCCTGCATGCAGCACACAGCAGCCTGCATGCAGCACACAGTATAGCCTGTATGCAGCACGCCTGTATAGAGTACAGTCTACACTACACAGTATACACAGGTGATGTAAACACACAAGCCCCCTCCGTCGCACGTGTTCCACACATTAACACAAACAAGGCGGGGAGAAGAGCGAGCCGAGGAGCGGCACGCACCCTACCTCCACGGCCGCCGCAGCGCTACTGAGCAACCGCCACCACCGCACTCCCCCCTAACCAAAACTGTTGCTGTTTCGAGTCCAAACTTTACGGCAAGTGATAAGTTTTCTGGAAACGATGGATAGCACATTAAAAACTCGCTTAGATTCATGCCTAAGTACACGTAGCGACCTTAGTACCTACAGTAGCGGCCATAGTACAGTAGCGGCCTAAGTACACGTAGCGGCCTAACTATAAAGTACACGCAGCGGCCTAAATACATGTAGCGGCCGATTTCTCGTCTGCGATTGGTGGGTTTAGCTCAAGAAGCCGTCGTTGATTGGGTGACGGAGTTACGATTCTTAACTATTTTAGATAATACGGGCCAGGTCGCCCAGAATGGGTACAAATTGTCTTGTTTAACTAGCAATCAACTACTACTTCTACCTAGCAACAGCATCAGTCATGGTTGTAGTACCGCATATTTGAGCCCGCGGCGACCATCCAAGCTTCTACTCGCGTCTTGGCGGTCCATGAATCACGATTGTGCACCCATTTTCGACCTAAAATTTCATTTAAAAATAGGAACGTGTTTTTATTGTAGTGGTGAAATTGCTGATGATGAACTTTTACAGCACAATATCGAAATGGAGGTCATACATTGTTCGATTTGCAGTCGCGAGTTTCGTCGGTAAAGGCTCAAAGTGGGGGCGAAAAGTTTATACGGCTTCAGACAACTTACGAACCTCATGAATTATTACTATACTTGAATACTACTAAATAACAATTAAGAGTTAGAATTTTTATTTAACATTATAAACCTAATAAATATCACCGATCTGAGACCANAGTTCATCAGCCAATCATTGACGGCCTTTCAAGCAAAATCCACCAATCATAGACAAGAAAATAGAGCGTAAGTACTTACGTTCACTTAGCGAATTTTGAAAGTATATGGCCCCAGAGCACGCCGACAAACGACGCTAATCGGCACCACCGCGATGAATAGACGCCGACACTCAAATAAAAATTAAGGTGGCGGTAGTAGATTATAGGTGGCATAACGGTGGGTGGCCAGATCTGCCGAAAATCGACAATAAAACACCAATAAATCGAGAGGGTGGCGGGTATAGGTGGAAGCCATCGATGATTTATAGTCTGAATCATCGATTTTTTTGGCACAAGGACGGCAATAACTTCGGCAAACTAATCGATATCTTCTGAACATGATTAAGGTATAGTTGAGCTTAAACGTTCCTCTTTGCGGAAGCGTTCAAACTGGGAAAGAAAATAAAACACTTGCGTATTTTAAAGTATTAAAATAATGACATGGTATAACAGCCGTAATTGCAATCGGAAATGGACCCGTAATAACGGATTCTGTCACTTGAACTAGATTAAGAACGGAGACTCCTCCCCTGCCTCCAACTCTTACCCGCCACCCTCTCTCTTACTCGCCTCCCCCACACTCCCCATGCAATGTATGCCCTGCCGCCCATGCTCAGAGTCTGATGGCAGAGCCATCGATGATTTATAGAGTCTGAATCATCGATTTTTTATGGCACAAGGCCGGCAATAACTTCGGCGAACTAATCGATATCTTCTGAACATGATTAAAGTATAGTTGAGCTTAAAGGTCTTTGCGGAAGCGTTCAAACTGGGAAAGAAAATAAAACACGTATTTTAAAGTATTAAAATAATGACGTGGTTTAATAATCGTAATTATTCCAACTCTCACCCGCCTCCCCCCACCCCCATGCAATGTACGCCCTGCCGCCCATGCCATGTGACAGCACCCTAACAGAGCCGTGTTCCGTCTGTAACGGGCTGTTGGAGATTTTTTCTATTTTAGCCATGACACGGCGCTGTTTTAGAGATAACTGGCCGGTTATTATTTCACGGCTCCGTCCGGCTAAACCGCGACAGGCTTGGCCAAGCCCTGCGCCGGTACCGTCTCAAAATTTTAACCGGGTAAGAGACGCCCAGGTAACAAGTACCCAGAGTTCGTTTAGGGACACAACCTAAGATTATGCTGGAAGCACCACCTATTGACGGCTACCAAGCGCCGCCTTCCAGCGACACCGAAAAATGAACTGAGCTTCCCAAGGCTCGAACCCCCGGCTATAAAACCGAAGCATTTTAATTAAACTTCATATGTGCACGCGGCTAGTGCTGATGAACATTTTGATGTACGACTTGTTTCGGAACAGTTTTTTTGTAGCTCCTCTCATCTCGGTGCCGCCATCACAGTGCAGACAGTGGCGTTGCTGTCAAGACGAAGCCAGGCTAAGGCGTCGCTGTAACGCCCATGAGTCGTCCTATATGAAGGCGCCAAAACGGTGGCTTTTTATCACTACCGTTGCACTGATGCAACATTCACGTGACTGCCGATTGGCATGCGGCTGTAGGTAACGTTGGCGCTTGTAATCTGACTTGTTAATCTGATTAAGTTGTCGCTAGTAACCTGACTGTTACTGTAAGTCTGGCGCTAGTAATGTGGCTAAGTTGTCGTTAACTTCATTGGGAGATTTTAAAAGCGAATGTCATTTTGTGGGCATTCGAGGGTATCAAGGTTGATATACTTAATTGGCCGTGGATGTTATCGGTATATACAATATTATACGGACGTATGGTATGTAAAAGGCCGACGCAAGTATTATTCCACGCAATCGACCATAGCGGAGCAAGAAAAGTGCTCGAGAATATTGAATGTAAAAGAATATGTGAGTTAGAACATGATTATGAATCCGGGTATGAGTGAGAATAAGATTGAGAGTATCGGTGGATGTATGGATGAGGATATGAAAGAGACCATTTATGAATGAGACTATGAATTAGACTATGAACGGAAATACGAATACATTTTTAACGACACCTCACCTGCAAGATGTGTTGGGCAGACTGCACGGTGTGGTCGTACGTCAGGCACTCCTCCTCCAGCTCCTCCCCCTTCTCTTCTGCTCCATCCCTCCAATCTCCCACGGGGATCTGGCGTCCAAATCCGTTGTGTTCGGCCCCAACTTCCACCCCACGGACGCAGGGCTTGACTACGTTGATCTTTGCGGACACGCCCATCTCAGCCCAAGCTCCCGCCTCTTCACTCTGGGTGGAGTTCAGAGACTCCACCTCTTCGTTAAGGGTGGAGTCCAGAGGCCCCACCCCCTCCCTGAGGGAGGAGTCTAGTCGCTTCTGTTCTTCCAGTCGCTTCTGTTCTTCCAGTCGCTTTTGTTCTTCTAATCGCCTTAGTTCCTCTAGTCTCTTCTGTTCTTCTAGTCGCTTTTGTTCTTCTAGTCGCTTTTGTTCTTCTAGTCGCTTTTGTTCTTCTAGTCGCTTCTGCTCTTCTAGTCGCTTCTGTTCTTCTAATCGCTTTTGTTCTTCTAGCCTCTTTTGTTCTTCTAGTCGCTTTTGTTCTTCTAGTCGCTTTCGTTCTTCTAGTCGCTTTTGTTCTTCTAGTTGCCTTTGTTCTTCTAGTCGCTTTTGTTCTTTCAGTCTTTGTTCTTCCTGTAGACGTTGTTCTTCTAGTCGCCTTTGTTCTTCTATTCGCTTTTGTTCTTCTATTCGCTTCTGTTCTTCCAGCCTTTGTTCTTCTTGTAGACGTTGTTGCTCCAGTAGTCGCTTTTGTTCGAAATGCTCGCGTTGTTCTTGGGTCGTGGGAGGTGGTGACAAGGGGGAACCACCAACTACTTGGCTCATCGCCTCCGGCTCCTCCGCCCGACTCACCCTCCTCATCAACTCCTCCTCTCGACTCTTCCTCCTCTCTTGCTCCTCCCTCTTCCACAATTCCTCTCTCTCCCTTGCCCTCTCCTCCGCCACTCGAATTGCTTCTTTTCGCTTCCGGATTTCATAATCCAATGAACTCAGCTTCTCTTCCTCCTTGTCGTCTCCATCCTTCTTCTCGTCTCCTTCGCCCCCTTTCTCCACTCTCATTTCATTTCCCTTTACCAATGACGACTCGTAAGTTTCTAGAATTTCAGTCCCTCGAGTTCCGGACGGTTTTTCTTCTATCGTACCAGGAGGAACCCAACCCATTTCATCGACTTCTCCCTCGTCAGTAACATTACCGACATGTTCTACGACGATCTGCACTATCGGTTCGACTCGCATGATCCTAGGATCTCCAGTTCGGCAGGTGGTATTGTCAGTTTCGGGTTTCCCCTCTTCGAGCTCGAGGTCAGGTTCACTATTGCAACTGCTACTTCTACTGCCATGATCGACACTCGAGCCAATCTGCTGGACAGACTGGTTCTGTATTCGAGGGGTATTGCCAGGCGAGTGTACACTTTTCAGCTCTCGTTTCGAATAGTTAACACTTCTACTTTCGGTGGATGAAGTAACTTGAGACGAAGCTTCTTCTTCCGAAACTGGGCTCATGATGAGGCTGCGTTCGAATGCGTGTTTGTATTCGACGTGAATCCCATTTTCCTCCTCTTTGCCCACTTCTTGTTCGCCTACCTCTTCGTCCATCTGCACTTCATCTTCATCACTGTCTTCATACTTGGTCTTCACGAATACCTCGGAAAACTTCTCAGGTGATGGTGAAATGGGGGGCTTAGGGGAAGTAGGGGAAGTCCCCTGGGTTCTTAAGAGAGGAATACCTACCTTATTTAAGGGGGCAAAACTCTCTTCGGGGACTTTGGGGGATGCGTCAGCACCCTCTTTCCTCGAGACAGACTCAACTTCCTTGCTTGGGGAGCTACAACTCCTCTCGGGAGATTTGTAGGAGGGTTCAATGAGTTTCTGGGAGGGTTGGGAGGTAAAACCTGTGTTGTACACCTGCATGTCCACCGGAGGGGAACTGGTCAGGGCATATTTGGTGTGGTCCAGCGGAGGGGAGCAGGAAAGGGCAGGTTTGGCATGGTCTAGCGACATTTGGGGAGACACAAACTTATGTGTAGAGACAACATCGCAGGAGGAGGAGGCCAGCAGAGTCCTTTTAGCTCCCCCTGCAGGAGATGGCTTGCTGCCCCAAGAGTCATGCCCCCACTGTAGGCGTGGGGGAGGCTGTTCCTGCCCCGGCGGGGAGGTGGGTTGGGGGGCTACCACGGCAACTCTGGCTGACGCAACAGCACCGCGCCCTACGAATGATTGTTTCCACAAATGTTATAGTCATTGTAGTTATTAATTGTTATGGGATATATTTCATGCACAGCTGTTCTTTGTACAGCAGATAAATACGAGCAAGTTGGGGACTTAACTAGGGATAGAGTTTCATGAAGTTTGGAGGACGTTTACATTTTTTAAACACAATTGAAAATTCTAAATAAGAACAAATGTAAAGACGTAGGTAATATTTCGACACTTTAGGTTACGGGAAATGGAGTAGGTATAGCAGATAAGACTTTTTATAAGATAAGATAAAAATAATATAATACATAACACAGCAGATAAGATAAGATAACGCACCGGCCAGGATGATGGAGCGCTCCCGCCGCCAGTCCTCCGTGGGGCTGCGGGGGGGAGGGGGTTGGATTATATATTGGGGAGTGGGGACGTGAACCCAGTCCCTAGTCCCCACCCCGTCTCCCTGCCCCAAGTCCCCCCACCTCCCGTCTTCCTGCCCCAAGTCCCCACCTCCCGTCTCCCTGCTGTGGACTTGCCCCTCGTGTAGGACTTGAACCAATTCTTGTGACGCCTGATGAGCTCCTCGTGGGGAAGTGGACTGGCTCCCCTCCTGCCCTCCTGAGGGGGACTGAGGCTGCGGTCTGGCGGGGACTGGGGAGTTGGGGACACCGACGATTTGGGACCGTCCACTGAACGGGACTGGGTGGACGTTGGGGACTTGAGGGATGCCAAGGGCGCGGATTGAGTAGAGGTTGGGGACTTGGGACCGTCCCAGGGGCGGGACTGAGTGGAGGTGTAAGCAGTGCAGTCCCCTTGAGACGTTGGGGACTTGATTTCTTCCCAAGAGGACGTGAGGCTTGATGGGGACTTGGACCTGTCCCATTGGGACCTGAACTGTTCTCCCCAGCCCTTAGGGGTTAAAGGGGACTTGCTTGGACTTCCTGAGGAGTCCGTGGGACTTAAGGGGCCTTGCGTGGGGCTGCGTGAAGCCCTGGGGACTTGACTGCCGTCCACGTCTGGCTTCCGTAGACTGGCCACGACCAGGGGCTTCCCCCAGGTCTTCTCAGCTGGGGACTGGGTTTGGAATGTGGACTTCCTGTCATCCTGTGTGGACTTGGGGCTTAGCGATAGCTGGTGGAATGTGGACTTTGAATTGGCAGATCCCTGGAATGTGGACTTATTAGTTGTTCCCTGGAATGTGGACTTGTGGAGGCTGAGGGGACTGGTTTTGGGGACGTCGCAGGATTGGGACTTGGAGAAGAGATGGCGGGACTTGACTGGGGACTGGGGCCGTCTGGGGACTTGATGGCCGTTGCTCTGCAAGGGAAGTCAAGTCCACA